TTTTTTGTTTCTCGTTTAGCACACGGAAAACCTGATTTCGTTCTCGAATGCTTCGCTTGCTTTTTTTTCAGGAGCGAGCCAGAGCCTTGATACTTATAGGTGATCGTGAGCCGCCTCTTTCTGAAACCTTCGCTCTGCCTGAAACTGGCCCTTCCAATGATTTTTTTCGAGAATTTTACAAACCTCAACGTGCGACGTTGAAATTTAGAATCTCGCGCAAGAGGGTGCGTGTTCTTGCTTCATTCCTTTCCATATCATCAGCCCATTCTTTTAGCATCGCATTTTGCTCGCGCAATTGTTTTCCTCTGAGTGTGGCTGCCTCATGTTCCAGACGGAGTTCCTGAATAACTTTAGATTTTTGCACGTTTCTTCAACAGCTTTGGATTCTAAAATGCTACAGAGGCAAATGAGAGGTGACGAGTAATGCGATCTCGGTGAAACCCTCAATCAAATTTTGTTTTTGCATCACCTCAATTTCCAAATCCAATATTTGGTCATCCAGATCCTCCTCTTCTCTAGCGGCTTCCTTCGACTCATCAATAATTCGCAAAGCCTCTTCGGCAGAAGGTAGACCTTCGAGTTCCGCACGTAGAGCGTCGACTTCTGTAAAACGAAACTCTGAATTTGCACGAGTTTCCATTTCTGGCAAGTGGCACGATAAATCCCCAAGACGTTTAGGATTAATAAGCCCAGCAGGGAACGGAATTCGGCCCTCTGAGCAGGCGCTGCATTGCTCTTTTTCGAAGGAGGTACCCCCATAGCGTCCTATCACGGTGCAGCATACCGACCCGGACGCCCACTGCGCCCGCCCGCCCACAAATGTCCGAGCGATGCTGATGCTCGTATCGCTTCATTTGCGAAGTACAATATGAAGCGAAGGGGTTGATATGAAGCGATTGCGGTGTTGCATAGATATGTAAGTACACACATGCTGCCATACCTACCGTAGCGACGATTGGCACGATGCCAACGGGAAACTAATTAAGTCTTAGAGCGAAGGCGGAGGGAACATGACTGTACGATGTGAGCAGTTACTTGGAAGGTAGAAGTTTCTCGTACGAGACACTTCCACTAACGTCCATATCTAAGGGCAATAATGGGCGGAGCTGCGAAAGCAGCGATGGCTGAGAGGGTTCAGACGAAAGAGAAGCAGAAGCCTATGCGTAAGAGAGGAGAGTTGCACGCAGCCGTCGCTAGAATACCCT